TATCAAACTGGCTCAACAGATCCTCTTGCATGCCACTATTTTGATCGAATGTCACTCTCTGGATTGTATTGGGAAATCCAAGTCTGTGTCCCTAGTTACCAGTAAAATGCCTTCATTCGCTTCCATCTTCCTACAAAAACTGATAGAAAGATCAGCTCTTTGAGCTAGCTGACCATCACACAATGCTTTTTGGTACTCATTCAGCTGAAAACTTATTGAGACCAACATTTTCACTTAGAATTGCAAATGCCACATCATATAGTAACCTAAATTCACTTTTCTTTCTTTCTCTTTCTGGAGTTCAGCCACATTTTCTTCCTTTGTTGAGATTTATTGTCTCCCCTCTCTTGGCTTCTTGCTGAGATCACCCTTAAAATGCTTGATACATCTAAAAGTTGTTTTATGTCAGGCAGCAGTGCTACAAATTTGTTGCAAAGCTTCATTGTTTTGGGAAGATGTTCACTTGAGTTTTGTTTAAAATTTGCTTAGTCCTGACCTCACAAAAATTTTTCCCTTGTAAAAAGCATAATTTTATTTGAAGGCACTCTAATAAAAGTGGATCCTTGGTGTTGCAATGGGTTACACACTGGGCTGCTAACCTCAAAGCCTGCAGTTCAAACCCACCAGCCACTCCACAGGAGAAAGATGCTTTCAGCTCCCATCAAGATTTATAGGCTGGGAAACTTGAGGGAGCCGCTCCACTCTGCTCTCTACTGTCTCTCTAAGTCTGAGTCTATTCGATGACAGTTGGTTTGATTTGGCTTTAAAGTGTCTAAGACAGGTATAATTCTGAGATCATTTGTCTGAAACCATCTACTGGTAAAAGACCCATGTTTACACATACTTTACTTGGGATCAACTTGTACATGTATGAACTGGAAACATAGCAGCGATGCTTTCTGGTTTACTCTAATACTTCCATAGGTATTAATTTTATATACTGCAACCTTGTTTTAATTAATTATTAATTCACACACACACTTCGGTAAGTATATATGACAGAAAAACTTAAGTTTAATTAATTGTCATAGTAATTCAGAAAGACTTGATTTTTTTAATTATAAAAATTTTATTGCATTTCAAGTGCTTCCTTGCCAAAGCTGGAGGCAAGGATTATTTTAATTTTATCTTCACTTTTTGATGACCAAGGTATAAGGATATCTACTGCATAGGACACATCTTTATTTTATTTATGTATTTGATCTTGACAGATCTGGTGTCCTTTAGTCTGGTGGTGAGGGAAAGTTCTTGATTTAGTCTCCTTTTCCAGGAGCTCAGAGAATCGAATGCTGTTGGCCTTGCTTTGACACTCAGTAGGGATTTTTATCTTTCTGGTGTGTGTGTGTGTGTGTGTGTGTATAAGAGAGAGAGAGAGAGAGAGAGAGAGAGGACAGAGAGACAGACTGTTAAAAATAAATCTGGATTTTATAAATCTCTTCTCCCATCTCCACCCCGATCTCCTAGCAAATTCAGTCTACTAAAGCTGTGGTGGCGTTAAGTACTAGGACAGGAAAACTGTATCTGGGAAATGGGAAACCTCTGAACTTTTCTGTTTTCCTAAGGGTGCGGCTCAATTTCCTCCCAACACCTTTTTGCTCTCCATTCTTCCACTGTACAACTCATTGCATTTAGAGTTTCTTAAGGTCATTGAGTTTCTATTTTATTTTGTTAGTGGAAGCAGGTGGGTATCATTTTACTTGTGGGAAGTTACCTATCTGATTGTGCTTGGTAAAGTTTCTAACTGAGAGGTTAGAATAGAAATTAAATCACAGTTATGGGATCAAATGCCCTGTGTTTATGTACAGCTCTCCAACCTGATACCTATGTGATTTGGGGAAAGTTCCTTAAACTCAGTGCCTCAGGTCTCAGGTTTATAATATAATGATTACAGTAGTGTCTCCCCTACAAAACTGGTCTAAGGATTAAATGAGTTGTTTATGAAAATATACAACAGAATTTGGCATGCAGTATACACTCAATTAGTGTTAGATTAAATCATTACCTAGTCCAAATGGAATATTACCAAGTTAGAATGGTTGGCAAAATGTCTGTATGACAAACCTCCATAGCATTCTCAGTCCTCCATCACCACCGCTGCCAGCAGGTTGATTCTGGCTCATAGAAATCTCATAGTGCAGAATAGAACGGTTTCATAGGGTCTACAGAGCTGTAAAGCTCTGTGCGAAGAACAGACAACCTCAGCTTTCTCCTGAGGAGTTGTTGTGCTGATGGGTTTAACCAGGCATCATCAAACTACGGCCTGTGGCCTACATGCGGCCCACCGAGGACATTTATCTGGCCCACCAGGTGTTTTTGCCCCGTTTGTTTTTTTACTTCAAAATAAGATATATGCAGTGTGCATAGGAATTTGTTCATAGTTTTTTTAAAAATTATAATCCGGCCCACCAACGGGTCTGAGGGACAGTGAACTGGTCCCCTGTTTAAAAAGTTTGAGGACCCCTGAAACTATTGACTGTGTTCAAGTTCAATACTTAACCCATAGTGCCACCAGGTCTCCAATAATATTGACAACTTTATTATATTGTTACTATTTTCTAGGCATTCAATTTAGATAGATCTTAACAGGAATGACCTAGTTCCAACAGCTCAACACTTTTAATATAATTTTCATTTTTCCAAGAAGAGCGTGAAGGAATACTTTAATTAATTTGCCCATACTGGTATAGTTAACAGAGTTAAGCATGAAACCCAGGCAAGACTGATTTCAGAGCCAAGCATAACTGCTTTCTCACCTCTTCAAAAGGGCCTCACTCTGTGATGTTACAGTAGTAGTTGTCTTGAATCATACAACTCACGGTGACCTCCATTTATAACTGAATGAAGTGAGGCCTGGTTCTGAGCCATCCCTTTGATTGGTTGAAGACTAGACCATTGTGATCCATAGGATGTTCAAAAGCAGATTGCCAGGCTTTCCCCCCATGTCTGTTTTAATCTAGAAGCCCCATTGAAACCTGTTCATAACAACACACCAGCCTCCATGGACAAATGGATGATGGCATCCATTGTTTGGGAATCTAACTGGATCTCTTGACTGGACATTGAGAATTCTACATTGAATCAACAATGTGGCTATCTCAACATTTGATATTATTGCTGTTAGGTGCTGTTGAGTTTGTACTTCATGCAATGGTTGAATATTTTGTGTGTGTGTACAGTGTGTATTCCTTCCATCCTTTTTCTATGTTTCTTGCATCAATCAGTATTTTACCTATAGTATCCCTGATAGCATGTAATTTAAGCATTGAAATGAAAAAACCCTAATGCATATATTCAATTGTTGTTAGGTACCATTGAGTGGGTTCCAACTCATAGCAACCTTATGAACAAAACACTGCCCAGTCCGGCACCATCATTACAGTTATGAAGATGTTTTCAATAGGTAACAATTTTCTGATTAAAATTAACTCTTAATTTTTAAAATTAAAGCATAAAATGTTTCACGGACTAACATAACCATCAGATAGGAAAAGATCTTCAGAATATCTTATATAGCCTTCTATTATATAATTAAGGGTATACCCAGAATGGTGCTACAATTTCCCCTTGATGACCTATCTAGTGAATGGCTAAGCAGGTCTCCAGAATCCTTGTATAGAACTAGTTTCAATAGACCACACATAAATGATATATATTTACATAGGCCATTTTTGGGCAATTCTTTGTATAAAAAATATCCTCCACATATTTTTATAAAAGCCATTATTATCATCAATGTCGCTGGGCCATATTCAAAATAGCTGGGCTTAGTGGTGGCTGAAAAGCTGCAGGAGAATCCCTTTCTTTAACATGTCTTCTGTAGTTTCTATCTTTCTCAATTGCCTCATATGCATGTGAGAGTTGGACAGTGAATAAGACTCAAGAATCGAGGAACTTGGATTGTGGTGTAGAAGATTGAAAGTACTGTGGACTGCTACAACGACAAACCGATCTGTCATGGAAAAAGTAGAGTGCTCTTTAGAAGCAAGGATGGGGAGACTTCATCTCACAAACTTTGGATACGTTGCCAGGAGAGACTAGTCCCTGGAGAAGGACATCATGTTTGGTAATGGACAGGGGCAACAAAATGAAGAAGGCTTTAAAGGAGCTGCCTGACACAGTGACTACAATAGGATTAATCATAGGAACCATTGGGAGGATGGCACAGGCCTGGGCAGGACTTCGTTTTGTTGTGCATTAAGTCGCTATGGGTCGGAAGTGAATCGATGACACCTAACATCAACAACAGCAGCATCCCCTTCAAAGGGGAGCCCTGGTGGTGTCCATTGGGCTGTCTCCGTAGGAGAATAATGCAGTGGCCTTTTATATAGTGATGGAGCCGTGGAAACCTTAAACTCAGTTCTGTTGATTGGACCGCAAAGGATTTGTTTCCTTTGCTCCTTCCAAATATAACTTTCGACTCCATAGCACAACTGTGGAGAAGTTTTACATCCAGAAACAGCTCCTGCCTGGAGCTCTGGTAGTGTAGTGGTTATGCGCTGGGCTGTGATTCACAGGCTCTGCAGTTCAAACCACCAGCAGCTCCGGGAGGAAGACCGGGCTTTCTCCTCCCGGTAATCAGTCAGTCTCAAAAACCCAAGGGGCGGTCGCTACGAGCCAGCCTTGACGGGATGGCAGGGAGTTTCCTTTGTTTGATAGCCGTTTTCTAACCCTTGCTTCCCAAATAAAAGACCGGTCTAGCCCCAGTTTGGGCGGGGCCGAGAGAGGAAGCAGGGCGGGAGAGGGCGGGGCTACGAGAAAGACGAGGGGAGGGCGACGAAGGGGCGGGACCAACAGCGGTTTTCTCGCGCTATTGGCTGACGGGGCCCGTTTGCGCATGTGCCGCTTATATTCAAATGCCGACGCGCGCGCGGCGCCTGCGTCGGGGGAAGGAAACTGCGGGCGGGAGTTAAAAGTACCGGGGCCGGTGGGGAGCTCTCTCGCGCCCGCCTTCTTTCGGTCAGGTTCCGCAGAGTCCCGCTTAGCGGACCCCGAGACGTCGGGCCGCTGCCGGGGGCGAGCGTCCTCGGAGATCCTTTTCGCGGGCGGAGCCGGCCCCGACAATGGCTTCCTCGAGTCTGGTGAGTGGGGCCGGGCCCAAGGCTGAGAGACTGAACTTTGAGCGGCACCTTTGGCCTCCTGGAGATTTCCCTGGGAGAGCCACTTACATTTTGAAATCGGGTGTGATTGTGTGCCAGAAGCCGCGCTATTGACTTTTCTTGTTTCTTCTCGATTTCCTCGACCGTCTGCTTCCGTTTTCCTCAGCGGATGTTGTGCTTTCTGCTTAGCATGCTTCCGGTCCCCGGTCCTCCACAGACAGACTTCTCTGCCCATAGCCGAACTAGTGAAACTCCTAAAATGTGCGCTTTTGCACAGACGTGCTAGTCGGCTACAGGGTCTTGATTGTGTAACATTTTTCTCTTCATAGTCGGACGTTCTCATTTGTTTTCCAAATGTCGAGCCTTGTCCCAGCGCACCTTTGGGCCAAGCCTTCATTCGTTCAAAGAAGGCAATTGTGCCTGATAACGGGCTGTGTGTGTGTGTGTGTGTGTGTGTGTGTGTGTGGACTCAGCTTTGTTTTTACGTTTCCGAACTTCCTCAGCATTTTTGAGACATTGCTTATTGTTTACAATGTATTTTAATATTCACCGACTTGTATTTTTTACTGTATCTCCCTTTGCCAGGCTTTGCAGTATTGATCTTCCATATGTAATGATAGACGTGTATGTTAGTGGGTCCATTTTATTAAAGCACTCGTTGATTACATTATATACATGCCATTAGAATAAAGCCATTCTTGCAGAAAGATAATTGGAAGAAAACGCAAAACATTGCCCCAGCCTTTGCATCACTTTTACAACAAAACCCAAACTCTGCCGGCCAGCCCATGCAGGCTCATCGCCACTCCGTGGGACAGAGGAGACGGTAGCTCTTTACAGGAATAGAAAGCCCTGCCCAGTTGCTGGTGGTTTCGAACAGCTGATCATCCCAGCCCAACGCGGAACCACTATGCCACCAGTGTTCCTATTTACACAACCAACTCCAGTGGTTTTCTACTAAGTGAATATTTGACAGTGCCTGGTGAAAATTTTAGTTGTCACATTTGGGAGGCTGCTACTGGCATCTAGTGGATATAAGCCAGACGTGCTTCTAAACATCTGACAATTCACAGGACAGCCAATTTTACAGCTTAACATGTCTTTAGTGCCAACCTTGAGAACCCTATTGAGATATATAATTTCTGTTGTCATTGGTGATCTCTGGACACAGAACTGAAGTTCAATTTAAAATTGACTGAGGAATGATAGTTCTTGAGTATTTATTTAAGGGCTCCTGGTGGCATAGTAGGTCCAAAAAACTCACTGCCATTGAATCAGTTCCAACTCATAGTGCACCCTATAATATAGAGTAGAACTGCCCCTGTGAGCTTCAGGTGCTGTAAATCTTTACAGGAGCAGCAAGCCTTATTTTTCTCTCAAGGAGCTTGGTGGGTTTGAACTGCTGACATTTCTGTTATGAACCCAATACATAACCCAGGTTGCAGTTTAATTTTTGAGAGTAGCAAGGGGTGCTGTATTAGAATTTCATTGGGAAGCGTTACCTCATCTGCCCTATATCCCTGATGTTGCTCTGTCTTGTTGCCCAAATGCAAAGAACATTTAAAAGGAACATGATTTAAGTCCTGTAGCATGTCCAAACTGCCGTTTTGACATAATGTAAATTAACACAGAATTATTCATGGAAGGGATGTTTTGTGAGGTGTCATCAAGTCAGTTAAGACCCATAGCGACTTTATGCACACCAGAACTAAGTATTCTCGGGTCACAAGAGAGATGGAAACACTGCCTTCAGAAGTCTAAGACCTAGAGGGAAGATACAATGACAAACAATATAGCTTCACATCTTGATACTTTAGTTAATAAAAGTTTCTGTGATTTTGCCATAATACTTTTTTGCTTACCCTTCTATGGATAAACGTAGCTATTCCCTAACTAGCCACTTGGAGAGTCAGCAGCACCTCTAAAATAATGATTAAACCCTTCACCCACTCACTTGTTCTAAAGACCATTCCCCACTGAAAGAAACTAGACTGCCCTAGATAATATGGGTTAAGGGTTGAGACTGAGATAGTATAAAATGGGTTCAAAACCAACAGTATATTTTCACTATATTATTTCACGTACATGTGAAGTACAGCCTATTATATTTCCTCCATAGCCTATTGATCCCAGTAAAACCAAGACTAATGAAATATTTGATATTTATAATAATATGTTCATTTCTGAAAACTTGCTCTTAATCCTAATTTATCGTTAGGTGACATCGAGTTTGTTGACTTAACAGTGACACTGTGTACAACATAATGAAACACTGCCCAGTCTGTGTCATCAACACAATTGTTACATGTGAGCTCACTGTTACAGTCATGGTGGGTCTATCTTGTAGAAGAGATTCCTCATTTTTGAGGACCCCTTACATTTTCATGCAAGATGTCCTTTTCCAGAGACCAGTCTCATGATAAGCTATCCAAAATAGATGACAAAGTCTTCCTTTCTAAGGATTATTCTGGCTCTATTTACTCTTAAGACAAATTTATTTATTCTTCTGGCAGTAATCAATACTTTGAATGTTCTTTGGCAATAACATAATTCAAATGCATGTGTTCTTCAATGTCCCCTATTCATTGTCCGGTTTTACATGCGCATGCGGTAATTGAAAATACCATGACACGGGCCAGGCGCATCTAAGTCCTCAAAATGATGTCTATGCTCTTTACCACTTTGAATAGGATTTGTGTAGCTGATTTGCCCCGTGTAATATGTTACTTGTTTTCTTGACAGCTGTATCCATGAGCATCGATTGTGTCCAAGTACAATGATATCTATGATAAAGTCAATCTTTTTCTTGATTAACATGATGTTGTCTATTGGTTCATTTGTGAGGAGTTCTGTTTTCTTTACACTGAGTTGCATTCTGTATTGAAGGTGGTAGTCTTTGATTTTTATCAGTAAATACTTTAAATTCTCTTGGGTTAATAGCAAGCAGGGTTGTGACATCTACATATTGAAGGTTGTTAATGAACCTTCTTTCAATTCTAAGGCTTAGTTCTTCACATATTCCTACTTGTATTTTTTGCTCAGCATCCAGATTGAATAAGTGATGACAGGATATAATTCTAATGTATACCTTTTCTGATTTTAAACTATGCAATATTCCCTTGTTCTGTTTGAATGTCTGCTTCTTGGTCTCTGTATAGGGTCCACATGAGCACATTGAAATGTTCTGAAATTCCTATTCTTTGCAATGCTATCCATAGTTTGTTAAAATCTGTACATTTAAATGCCTTTACAGAGTCTATAGGTTCCCAATTTTATCTGGTCGCCTGCCCTCTTTTCAGAAGAAAAAAAATTACTCAGCTCTCCCATCAATTAAAAGCTTTTGTACTATAGCCCATATCTGCTTTTGCATCCTCCCCCCAACCCCCAAAATGTCATAGTCAATAAAACCCAACTAAACATCTTTCTGGTAGTCTGTGTTTTTCAGTCACTATCCATCTAACCTAAGTAATGATAACCCTTGTCTGCTTTTTATATTGTTTGTTTTATGAATGATCACTTTTATATATTTTCAAACTTCAAAAATTGGTAAAATTAGTTCATTGATGCTCCCTTCTGCACTATTTTTTCGTTGTTTTATGACTTTCTATTTATTTACTATTATTTTAGTGGATTTTGCTGTAGGGAAAGGGGATAAGAATAGATATGAATAAGTGAATTACTAGAAGCCCAGGCAGTTTAGATTTTGATGCTGGAAGATGATGAGGGAGTGGTAGAGGAGGAATCAGTGGTGGAGATGACTAAATCTTATAAAGGGAAGATACTGTGTAGGTCAAGATTTGGAACTAATAAAAATGCGGCAAATTGTTTCCTTTTACTAGATCCAGAACAATTCTTCTTTATGGTAGGTGATTAGCAAATACTTGCTAAATGAAGAACTGAAATTTTCTGGATGTCCATCTTGGGAAGAAATTACTTTCAAGATAACTTTAATTTGGATGTACTGTAAATGAAAATACCAAGTTATTATTTACTTTTCTTCCAGGATCATCTGAAAAATGCTTACAGAAGAAGATTTTGCCTTCCTTCCAGGTGATTTATCTACCTATTCTTTCAAGATTGAATTTATTCCAGTCATCAGAAAGTAAATTTTGAAATGAAGAAAGCTGTCGTCTTTGTTTTATAAATAGTTTGTTTTATATTAATAGAAATTTTCATGCAGTAATGCAATGATGATAATGACCGTGGGAAAATAAATTCATCTGATAACATGGTGGCCCAGGAAAAGGCAGCATCAATTCTGATTAGATGCTGATGTTTTTGTTGTTTGGTGCTGTCCAGTCGGTTCCAGCTTATCCCAGTCCTATCTATGTGCAATAGAACACTGCCTGGTCCTGGTCCTGCTCCAGCCTCATTCATACTCATTGTTTTAGCTCATTGTTGCAGCCCATGTGTGAATAATAGCTACTCGGTTGTTGTACTTAAAGCTGCAGCACATTCAGTGCGGTGAATTGTATACGATCATATTATTTATAGATGTGCATTATTATTGCTTTGAGGCTTTCTTTTAGTTTGACAAACTGGTTAAGTGCTTGACTGATAGCTAAAAGGTTTGTGGTTATACCCACTCAGAAGAATCTCCTAAGAAAGCCCTGGCCTTCTAGTTCTGTAAAACCAGCCACCGAAAGCCTGCTGTAATACATGGGAAATAACTTAACAGTAGTTAGGTTTGGCTTGGGTTTTAGTTGTGAAACCTGTAAAGTTAAGTTTTATGGTTACATATTAAATAGTAATACAATGAGTAGCATGCTTCTGAAAATAAAGATATCATCAACTACTAAATGTTTATTGAGTCTTGAATCTTATTAGATCCAATGGAGCATAGAAATGTGTACCTGAAGCTTGTAGTCCTGTTGCAAAGATGTAGATGTATATTTGTGTAATAATTAACAGAAAATTACTTGTACTATGAAACAATAACTTCTGTGTCATAAAGAAGTATATATAATTAGGTATTAACTTGCATTATAATTGGCTATGTAAGATGCTAAAATAGGGTCTATATATATATTCATATTCAGGAAAGCTTTAAAGTGATACTTTATCTTGGGGTGGTCCTTGAATAAGAATCTTAAAGAAAAAGGTAAAGTAAGGGGTAGTGGGGAGGAGATGAGTCACTCAGGGTGCAGTGTAGCATCGATGAAACATACAGCTTTCCTCTAGTTCTTAAATGCTTCCTCCCCCGCCACTATCATGATCCCATTTCTACCTTACAAACCTGGTTAGACCAGAGGATATACAGTGGTGCAGATAGGAATTGGAAGCACAGGGAATCCAGGACAGATGAACCCCTCACGACCAGTGGTGAGAGTGGTGATACCGGGAGGGTGGAGGGAAGGTGGGGTAGAAAGGAGGAACCAATTAGAAGTATCTACATATAACCTCCTCCCTGGGAGATGGACAACAGAAAAGTGGGTGAAGGGAGACGTCAGACAGTGTAAGACATGACAAAATAACAATTTATAAATTATCAAGGGTTCATGAGGGAGGGGGGAAATGAAAAATGAGGAGCTGATTCCAAGAGCGCAAGCGGAAAGCAAATGTTTTGAGAATGATGAGGGCAACGGATGTACAAGTTCTTTACACAATTGATGTATGTATGGATTGTGATAAGAGTTGCATGAGCCCCCAATAAAATGATTTAAAAAAAAATAAGGTAAAGTACATTTTAGACATAGATAAATAAACAAAGCAACCAATACTTGTATTATGTATGTCTGGAGGAAGCAGACCTGTCATACTTAACCCATGCTATTGTGTTGATTCTGACGGAAAGTGATCTTATAGGACAGAGTAGAACTCCATAGAATTCGTTATTGAATATCAAACTTTCACATGCATATGAGGGACTGAATATATATCATGCTTGGGTCAGGTGTAACTTATTCTTAAAAGTAACATCCTTGCTCTTCAGCACTGTGAATAGGTCTTGTGCAACAGATTTGCTCAGTGCAATGCATTATCTGATTTCTTGGCTGCAAGAGTCTTGTGTACCATGTTCCAGTTACTAGGGGATGTTTGCTGTTAGTTCACTTTTTGAGTTGTGTCATATTGGCAAATGAAAGTCCCAAGGATTTTACTCCATGAATTCAAGTTGACTCTGCTTAGAGGAGGCAGATCTTCCCTGTTGTATTTTGAGTCCCTTCTATTCATCACTATATCAGACAGTGTCTTGTTATCCATAAGGTTTTTCATTGGTAGTTTTCATTCGCTAGACGTTTCTTCTTGATCTTAGTCTAGAACAGCAGTTCTCAACCTGTGGGTCACGACCCCTTTGGGGAGCGTCAAATGACCCTTTCACAGGGGTCACCCGTTTCATAACAGTAGCAAAATTACAGTTAGGAAGTAGCAACGAAAATAATTTTATGGTTGGGGGTCACCACAACATGAGGAACTATATTAAAGGGTTGCAGGATTAGGAAGGTTGAGAACCACTGGTCTAAAAACTGCAGAAACCTGACTACCATAGATATTTTTGTTGATATTTGGAAAACAAGTGACCTTAGTTTCCAGCATCATAGTTAACATGCAAGTCACTACAGTACCACAAACTGACAGGCGATTCTAGAAGACTACATCCATAGTATGTGAACTCAGTGCACATGAGTGTACATGAGTGCATTCATGTATACACAGAGTTGTTATCTGAATTCCAAGCAGATATGAGACTATTAGGCTAAGGACTTTTTGAAATCTTGGATTGTACACGTAAGACAAATAGTGCATCTTAGAGGAGTGTGTTGAAGTGAAAATTGTTAGTATAGTTCTTCTAGCCATGTCTTTGTAAGTTCCACCGAATGATTTGGTGGAACCATACAAATTTTGTTATTGTTGTTTGGTGCCAGTTCCGACCCATAGTTCAGACTCATGCAGTCTCAAACAATGATGCAAAATGCAGGGAGATCTCAGGCTGGTGGGTGAAAAGTCTTGTGGATCAACTGACGGTGGAAGCATCACAGGGCTGGTGCAGATCTCCCAGTGGCTAGCCAGCAGAGGGGTGAAGCAGAGAGGAGGTGGGGAGGTTCCCACAGCCCTCCTTATGAAAAAGTCACACCCACATGAAGGCACCGTCAGGTTGTGACCTGATTGACAGGCTAAACTCCACCCCCTACACATTTATATCTTCTGAAATTATGTAATTACCACAGTTGGCCGGGTAGCTGCTTTCTAAATTTCTTGGCATAGGTGAGTGTTTCCAGTGCTTCATCAGCTTACAGAGACATTTCATTTGGCATTCCATCGATTTCTGGAGCCTTGTTTTTGGCTAATGCCTTCATTGCAGCTTGGACTTGTTCCTTTAGTACCATGAGGGGAAATATCGAGTAGGGCCATGCCTTAAGAACTAATTGTTCTTAGATTAAGGCTGCTGCATTTTTCATTATAAGACTCTTCTTTGCCTACTTTCAGAGTTCTTCCTTGAAATTTACTGTTTAGCTTTTTTGTATCAGTGTCTTATGACATCTACTTTGATCTTTTCAACTCACAGTGACCTTATGTAGGGTTTCCAAGACCATAAATCATTATGGGAACAGACAGCCTTCTCTATGTTCTTGGATTTCTTGGGGGTGGGGTGGGGTTTGAACTGCCATCTTTGTGGTTTGTAGCCCAGTGCTTACACTGCAGTGCCATTTTAATTGAGGTTACCCAGATTCCCTTTATGTTTGTGTAGTTTATTTATTGAGATGGATTGACATGGTGGCATAAAAGAAATGGGCTCAAGAATGGCACTGATTGTGAAGATGGTACAGCACCAGGCAGTGTTTGACGCTTTTGCACACAGGGTCATTATACATCGTAAAATACTTAATGGTACCAACAACAACAGTGTCCATAGCTGAGTGTGTGTGGTGTTTTGTAGTAGTATCTAGTCTCAAATTTATAATCATCCACTGGGTTTCTCGTATTAGGTTTATATAAGATATGTCATTTAACTTGTATGGATTTCAGTTTTCTCTTCTGTAAAATGAAGAATTATGACTCAGTAAGTGGTTTGGCTGAAATATCCAAGCATGTATATCTCTACAAAGCCCCAGATAATTTCATGCATGTGTCCACTGAAAATTTTAAATTAGATGATTTCTATGATCTTTCTATTAAAAAAATTGTATGTTGAGTGGCTTCTTTATGGCTCAATCTTGAGTGATGTATAGGACTTTTTGAAAGATTTTTTTGGGGGCTCTTACAACTTTTGCTACAATCCATACATCAGTTGCTCCCCCACCCCCCTGTGGCCCCTTGATAGATTGTTATTATTTTCATATCGCACACCGACCATTGCCTCCCTTCCCCTCTAGTTTCTGTTGTTCTTCCCCCTGGAGGGGGTTGTGTGGTTATGTGCCTTTCGTTGCAACTGGTACCTCCTTCCTCCCGTCTCCCCCCCCCACCCCCCCTTTGGTACCACTATTCCCATTCCCATTCCCGGGCCCCGTGTACATAAGACTTTTCATACTCAAGAAAGATAGGAACGTTGTAGATCAGGAATCAACAAACTGCAATATTTGGATTTTTTGCTTATTTTTGAAGCATAACCATTGCCACTTTATTTATGTATTATCTGTAGCTTCTTGTTATAGTGGAAAGTTTGCCAAATGCCTATTAAAATTTTTTACTGATTCAAGTTCATGTGTCTTTCATTGTGAATGGTTCAACAGTATATGAATCTCTGGAGAAGTATGCTTAGTGAAAAAAGCCAAGGCAAAATATTACAGTATATGATTCTGTTTATTTAACATTTTCAAATGACAATTTTAGAAATGGAGCAGATTCGAGAGTAGGAGTGGGTTGGAGAAAGAAGGCAGAATAGGAGTTGGTGTTATAAGAAAAGCAACAGAAAGATTTTGATGATGAAACTCTTCAGTCTTCACTGGTGGTGTATAAAATTACATACACAGGGGATGTCTGAATAATAAGATTAGTGATTTTATCAATGTCGATTTTTAGTTGTGATATTGTACTACAGTTTTTCAAGTGTTACAGTTGGAACTTGATAAAGTCTAAAGGGGATTTTTGTATTTCTTACAACTCCATTTGATTCTATAATTAATCTCATAATTTAATTTAAAAATGTATACTATAAATATTTGCATGTGTGCATGTCTTTATCTAGACCTCTATAAATGCCCTTTGCCTCCCAGCTCTTTCCTCTATTTCCCTTGA